GGGGCTTGGAGCAACCTGCTCAAGTGGAAGGTGTCCTTGCCCGTGGTAGGGGGTTGAACTGGATGAGCTTTAAGGTCCCTTCCAACTCAAACTATTCTGTGATTTTATGATCTCCCCATAGCTTTTAAAATGAAAATCCCCCAGGAGGTAACTATGAGATGGATTCGCTTCTCCATCTGGAGAAAGACTCTTAGAAGTGCTGTGATGTCCCTCACCATCTCTGCTGAGGAGCCACCCCATGATGATGGTCTATGATGTTTCTCCAAATGAGGGCTGGAAGGGGTTGATTTTGGACAGGCGTATTAAGTAGGATTTGTCCAGTCAGCAGGGCTGACCTCCTCCCTTCTTACATGAAGAAGGAAAACGCACTGTGACAATGTGAAAGCCTGTTCCTGAGCCAGAACCTTGGCTGGGATTATGCCTGAAGCATCATTTTTCACCGGTCTTCCAAGTGCTTGTAGAGGTTACGGTGTTGTGTTAAGATGCAATCGCCTGCCTTCGTGTTTTCTCTCTGGGGCTCAGGAGGAGGGCATTTCTCTGAGTTGATGGAATCGTGCTGGACCAAGCCCAAAACAAATGAGATTGAACTTAACCCATCAGCGGGGAGCTTGGTGAGATCGCAGCCGCGGGCTCTGAAAGCAGATGCTCGAGGGCAGCTTCTGTGGGTAAACTCTGGTCTTTGGGCTCCTTTGTCTTCTCCCACTTGCTTTTTGTGTGTATAGATACAGCTGAGAAAGTAACTCTGTTTCAGCTTGTTTAAAAAAAAAATAAAGATAATTCATCCAGGCCTATACTTTAAAATAGAAAACACAATCTCTGGTGAGTGGCATTGCAGGGAAAGTCTTCTAGAAGCCCATTGAGGTTCAGGATGGGGTCAAAAGCTTTGTTTTGCCTATTCAACCCAACCATCCAGAATGTCCCTGTTCTTTTATCCAGAACTGAGGGAAGATTGTGGACTTTTAAATGAGATTTGGGTTTTTTTTTTTCGTTTTTATTTCAGGCTGGGTAGGATGGGGACATCTATGGAAAGGAATATCTCAGAGTAGATCCACTTATTTTCTACAGACTACAGGAGTGGGTGCAAGGAAAAGGAGATTCCCAGGTCCCAACAGAGCAGGTAGAAGAGTTTTGCTCCATGAATAGGGTAAATTTGACTGTTGGGTGCTTTGTACTTTTGAGAAATGAATGTCCTCAGTGGTGAACTGGAGTCAGAATGGAACCATAGAATCACAGAATCATGGAACAGTTAGGGTTGGAAAGGACCTTAGGATCATCCAGTTCCAACCCCCCTGCCATGGGCAGGGACACCTCACACTAAACCATGGCATCCAAGGCTCTGTCCAACCTGGCCTTGAACACTGCCAAGGATGGAGCGTTCACAACCTCCCTGGGCAACCCATTCCATTGCCTCAGCACCCTCACAGTAAAGAACTTCTTCCTTATCTCCAATCTAAACTTCCCCTGTTTCAGTTTTAACCTGTTACCCCTTGTCCTATCACTACAGTCCCTAATGAAGAGTCCCTCCCCAGCATCCCTATAGCCTCCCTTTAGACACTGGAAGCTGCACTGAGGTCTCCACGCAGCTTCTCTTCTCCAGGCTCAACAGCCCCAGTGTTCTCAGCCTGTCTCCATACAGGAGCTGCTCCAGCCCCTGCTCATCCTCGTGGTCTCCTCTGGACTTGTTCCAACAGTTCCATGTCCTTTTTATGTTGATGACACCAGAACTGTACACAGTGCTCCAGGTGAGGTCTCACGAGAGCAGAATAAAGGGGCAGGATCACCTCCTTCGACCTGCTGGTCACACTCCTTTTGATGCAGCCCAGGATACGGTTGCTTTCTGGGCTGCAAGCACACACTGAAGCCAGCTCATGTTCATTTTCTCATCGACCAGCACCCCCAAGTCCTTCTCCACAGGGCTGCTTCATTTCTCCAGGCTGAACAGCCCCAACTTTCTCAGCCTATCTTCATATGAGAGGTGCTCCAATCTATTCCTTTTCTTGGCCATTTTAATGAGCTGTCAGCAGGAGGTGGCATGGATGCACTGCACATCCATCACCACACCTCTGCAGGCTCCCCATCCTCCTTAGGTGAAGAGCCGGGCATCCACCTTTCCATCCACCAGTAAAGCTGAGTAAGGATGTCAAGTAGCCTCCCCTCTCCTAATGTCAACAGGCCTATATTTGAACCTGTGCTCCGAATATTTAATGCATTTACTAATACATTTATGAGGAGTCATTTGGAGGTTTCCTGGCGGAGGGGCCCTGGCTCACAGGGGCAGTAACAACGCCTTTGGTTCAGCGTTCGGCAAACATGCTCAGTGTGGTTGCAGACCTCGGCTTCAGCAGAGGCTTTCAAAGGTTGGTAAATATTTACACAGCTCTGAAAAGAGGGGGAGCAAAAAGGGGAGGGCCTTTACACACTGAACCTGGAGAGGAATGCGAGTCAGGAATAACAAACAGGAGGCCTGCCTGAGTCAGGAGAGAAGAAAGGAAGAACGAGAACAAAATCTCAGCACCTCATTAATCCAGTAACTTCTCCTAAAGTATTACCTCATGAGGAATTCCTATAAATCTCATGGATTTGTTTTCGTCTATTAATGGAGTGCTCAGCTCATGCTTCTCTCTCCTTTCTTTGCCCCTGAACCAGCCATAGGATGTTTCGGGCTAAATAGCTGTGCAGAACAAGACTTCTCCATCCTTAGAAGAGTTCAAGGCCAGGTTGAACAGGCTTGGAGCAACCTGATCTAGTGGAAGGTGTCCCTGCCCATGGCAGGGGGTTGGAACTGGATGAGATTCAAGGTCCTTTCCAACCCAAACCATTCTATGATTCTATGTCAGCAATTGCTCAACTCTCCATGCCACCCTTCTCGCAGTAGTTTCAAGATACCATCAATTTCACAGCCCCATGGTCTTGAGTGCATAGTGATGCCTGTTACTCTACAGTGCTAATGTCCAGCCAAGCACCTGACCAAACAAGAATACTTCCATCATGGGCTGTTTTTACAGTCAATATAGAAACAGCATCTCTAGGACATGCTTCATTGCATCCGAAATGGGTTGGATGGATTAGGAGGAAATTCTTTCCTGTGAGGGTGGTGAGGCACTGGAATGGGTTGCCCAGAGAGGTTGTGAATGCTCCATCCCTGGCAGTGTTCAAGGCCAGGTTGGACGAGGCCTTGGGTGCCATGGTTTAGTGTGAGGTGTCCCTGCCCATGGCAGGGGGTTGGAACTGGATGATCTTAAGGTCCTTTCCAACACTAACTATTCCATGATTCTATGATTGACATGGCCTTTCATGTCAAGTGTGGTCCAAATGACCCAGCTGAGTAAGGCTGGATCAAAATATGCCAGGTTGGGTCCAAATGACCCAAGCTGGCATATTTTAGGGGAAAGAAATAGCTGGTTTTTGAGACTGACTGTGGATCCATGATCAATGGATCAGTTGTGGGAATGGCCGTGGATCCATGATCAATGGATCAGTTCTAGGAATGGCTGTGGATCCATGACCAGTGAAAGAGAATCCCCAGTCCACAAGTTACATCTGAAACCCTCAACCCCACCACTTGCAAGTGAACAAAGCGAGGGAACCCAACACAACGGCCGACTTATCCCGATGAGTCTGGCTTTAATTAAAAGCAGAAGCAAAACAAGCAGTGGAAGTCCCTGTGATATTTGGCAACTTGTCATCCTACACCATGCTCCCGCTGTGCCGCCTGCTCCTGGGTCAGCACTCGGGGTGTTATAGTGCCAGCTCCCTGGCTACTCTACCGTGCTGGGAGACACTTTGAGAGGAGAAAGTGCAGAGTCCAGCCCTGCCAGTATCGGTTGTGATTTCCCTGATAGTGTCAGGGCTGGATAGTGGCTGTAACAGCCTGTTTGGGAGCTTTCCCAGCCCTGAATCATTGGCATGGAGCCTGTGCAAATACTCTGTGCCTGCAGGGTTTCTCCTCCATCCTTTGCAGGTTAGGTAGTGTTGGACAAACACTGGTGTTTGGTTTTTAAGGTATCATCTCCTTCTAGCTTCTTTCAAATGGCTTTGGAGCCTGCCAGGGGATGCAGATTGCAGGGACTATGAGGTCTTGATTTGGTGGAGGTATCATGATTTACTTGTTTGCCTGTATGTGAGCTGGGTCCTGCCTTGCCTGACAGGGAGCTTGAATGCTGCTGAGCCTGAACTGAGAGTCAGAACAGGAGTTTAATGTTAGTTTGGGTGTCAGAGCTGGTGATGTGAGTGGAGCCCTGGGGCTCTCCCCATCTCCCTTGAAGGTGTTGAGGGCTGCTTGGCTGGGTGCTCACCCCTGCCATGTGCTGGCTGCAGCTGAGATGCAACTGTGCTGCCATCACCCAGCACCTTGCAGAGCTGTCAGATCCCAGCACCACCACGAGCCGGTGCTTTGGAAAGCCCTGCAGGGAAAGGAGTGTGAGCAGCAGGTTGAAGGAGGTGATCCTGCCCCTCTGCTCTCGTGAGACCTCACTTGCAGCACTGTGTGCAGTTCTGGTGTCCTCAGCATAAGGAAGACATGGAGCTGTTGGAGCAAGTCCAGGGGAGGCCACGAGGATCATCGGGGGCTGCAGCACCTCCTGTATGGAGGCAGGCTGAGAAAGTTGGGGCTGTTGAGCCTGGAGAAGAGAAGCTGCGTGGAGACCTCAGAGCAGCTTCCAATGTCTGAAGGGGGCTACAAGGATGCTGGAGAGGGACTCTTCATCAGGGACTGCAGTGATAGGACAAGGGGTGATGGGGTCAAGCTTAAACAGAGGAGATTTAGGTTAGATATAGGGAAGAAGTTCTTTACTGTGAGAGTGGTGAGGCACTGGAAGTTGTGAATGCTCCATCCCTGGCAGTGTTCAAGGCCAGGTTGGACACAGGGGCTTGGAGCAAGCTGCTCTAGTGGAAGGTGTCCCTGCCCGTGGCAGTGGGTTGGGACTGGAGGAGCTTTAAGGTCCCTTCAACCTAAACCAGGCTTGGATTTGCACTTGTTTACTGCGTATTCTTTCTTGCAGGCAATGCAACAAGACCTCCAACGGGAGTGACAGCTGTGACTTGATGTGCTGCGGCAGAGGCTACAACCCCTACATGGACAAAGTGGTGGAGCGATGCCACTGCAAGTACCACTGGTGCTGCTACGTGACCTGTAAAAAGTGCGAGAGGACTGTCGAGAGATACGTGTGCAAGTGAGATCCCTCCTGTCTCCACCCGGGAGCTGAGATGCCAGCGGCAGCCCAGCACTATACAGAGAAGAGAAATCATTTCCTCGACTAGACGTTGTTTATCTTGTAAAGACACAGACTTGGAGGAAGATGGTAGGAGGAAAACAACAAGCATTCACACCAGTAAAGAGAAGACCCTTAAAACCCCAAAACCAAATGTTTCCCCCGCCAATAAAATGCCCTCTGAGAAGACAAAAACTCATTCGGGATGTTATCTTCTTCCCGAATATTTCCTATAGTTGCCAGTGATGTTCAACCATCAAGTGCCTTAGTATTCTGAGAAACAAAAGTAGAAAGCAGCTCTTGTTTGAAAACAACTACGGCTCCCATTTACCTTCCAGCACAGGTACTCAGTCTGCATTAGAACCATCCCAAAAGGGATAAAGCTACGACTTCTCAGAAAAAACTGCCTTTGTTGCCAAAGACTTTTAGCAGGAAAGCATCCATCCCAGATGATAAAAGTGGAAAGATTTCAGGTCAATGCCCTGAAATGAACGATTCATTTTAACTTTTCTTTTACGCAGGTCTGAGACTTTGAATTCACTTCTGCAGGAAAAGCTATCCTTGGTTTATCCAGGCTGGATGGGGTTTTGAATTCAGCCATGCAAAAAATCCCCTGGGATCACAGAGACAGAATAGGACTTTGTTGGGTCTGTGAGATAGTAGTGGGGACATTAGGGTAAAATATCAAAGTGAAGGCAAAATCCAGTGGGAAGTGGGAAAAAAACCCAGCTCCTGCTCTCTTTCTGTCTTGCCCTTTGGGTACAATGCCCTTAGTCACATTGGGCCGTATTGGGCTACCAAATCCTTAGGGAAATATGTCGCTGCCTCATTTTTCCCTATACAAAGTATTGACCCAGCCCCAAGAAACTGCAGAGAGCTGAGCAAGTCCTGTCCCTGCTGCAGGGAGCAGGGCAGCAGCTATTCCCAGCAGGAAGGAATGGGAACGTGTCAGTCCTTCACATGGCCCTGCCTTGAGACAGCAGAGAACCACTATCTGTGGCTGTACATATTTTGTATGAGAACATACAGAAATATTTATATCTCCTGCTTTTGTCTACTCTACTTCCTACATAAATATATCATTATGTTATAAAGAAGCATTAACAATAGTATGAAATAAATGCTGAAGTTACTGGTGCAACAGCAAAATGTTAGATGATTATGTTTCACTCTCCTACTTGGAAAGCAACCCTGGTTCTCCTCCCAAGGATGGGAGAAGAGCATGGCTCAAGGCACTCACTGGCGTGGGATAGAGAAGTTCCTTTATTCCCTGTCTCCCCAGCCTCTTCATTTGGAGCAGAATTAGCCAAGATACAGTCAAGACAAGGAAACAGAGCACTTGGAGAAAGGAAGAGTCACCGTTCTTGTTTTGTATCAGCCATCATTGTCAACGGTAAAACATCTCAGTGCCCCCAAAGGAGCTTGATAACGAACGTGACTGATACCTCTCATGGTGGTTTGCTCCTGTCTGTGAAGAGAAGCTGCTGTGCAGGGGAGGTTTTAGTTTGGGTTAGGTTCCATTCCTTGCTCTTTTACTCCTGCAATAGGCAGCCAGCTCTGTGTCCCTGTTAGGAAAGGGGATGCTGGAGGAGGGTGTCTGCTAGAGGAGTAGAAGGCAGTGGAGCCTTTGAGGTTCTTCAGATCATTCTGGGAACCCCATTCCCTAAGGAAGTGCTGTACACAGCCGGAAAATCACTCCTACAGAAATGAGGGGAAACAGTGGCTCTTTTCTATGGGGAAATATGTCCATAACACTGCAGTCTTCATCCAAATCCCCTTCTGTCCCCCTCACTCAGCTGCCTTCTAGGAGGCAACTGCCTCTGACATCAACCTGAGCAGTCCTGAGACCTGGAGGAGAAAAGCATTGCTGGCTATAGAGCAACATTAGAGATATTTTGCTCTCCTCAGCTACTTCGCTTTGCTGTAATGGGTTTGGTCTCCTCGCCTCCTTCCCTCCCCCAGCCACGAGCAGGCAAAAAGAGGCCTTTGGTAGTTTGTCAGTGGTTTGTGTTATTGTCACCCCATAAAAGCTGGTGGACTAAAACGTCTCTGCAGTGTGGTGTGATGAGCGGTGGGTGTCTTTAGGCTGACATGCAGACAGGCTGGTGGCACAAATCCCACTGCTCTCCAAAGCCAGGACTTGGCTTCGGTTGAGATGTAAAGAAACGGTCCACTTTCATTCTTTTAAGGAATTTTTATTTCCAGCTGCTGATGGAGCCAGCAAGGCAGGGATGTTCTGAGCGAAGAAAAATCTGAGCATTTCAATGCTATTCCGTAATGACTCCTTTTCTTGCTCCCTTGATGTTGTCCTGAGTCTTTCTGCTTGGCGAAAAAAGCAGTGAGGTGGAAGAAGTGCTCTATATGCACATTGCTTTCAGCTGCCTTTCACTCCTGTGTTAGAGCTGTGCTCCTCAGCTGGTTTTCTCATGTCAGAAGAAACTTTGGAGAGCATGAGAAGATCTGAGTAAGCCTACCAGGCATCTGCAAGTCCATCTGGTGGGACATGACCATTCAGCAGACTTTGAGCCATGGTAGTACCTCACGTTTTGTGTCTGCCTCTGCCCATAACTGCCTGTTACTGAAGATAGCAGCCTCCCAGTATCTGAAGGGGGCTACAAGGATGCTGGAAAGGGCCTCTTCATCAGGGACTGTAGTGATAGGACAAAGGGTGATGGGTTCAAACTGAAACAGGGGAAGGTCAGGTTGGATGTAAGGAAGAAGCTTTCTCTGCGAGGGTGCTGAGGCTCTGGCACAGGGTGTCCAAAGGTGTGGTGAATGCTCCATCCCTGGCAGTGTTCAAGGCCAGGTTGGACAGAGCCTTGGGTGGCATGGTCTAGTGTGAGGTGTCCCTGTCCATGGCAGGGGGTTGGAACTGGATGAGCTTAAGGTCCTTTCCAACCGAAACCATTCTATGATTAGATGATTCTATGCTGAACTGAAATGCTGTGCTCTTTGGGGGATTGCAGTTTGGGACATCCAGGCTCAAAATCTGCCTGCTCCGCTAGATAACTAATTGTAGGCTTCATCTGAATTTTGCTTCTTTGAGCTGGCACTGTGTGTCCCCAGCCCATATTCTAGGCTGTTGGTCTATGAACTAACATTGTTACACCCCTTTTCCCATAACTCCTAAGTTTAAGAGCCCTTGTCTTCTTTGGAGCAGCTGCACCCTGCATTGACAATGTGCTTTACCAAGACAAGAGTAATGCACAGGACAAGGTCTGATGATAAACTGCAGCTTCCATTGTTACACAGCCCTATTTCATCCTGCAGACTAGGGTCATCTCCCTCCTGATGCTCTTGCATCTTCTATTTTGCCCAGAAAATAGCTTTGTATAAGAGGGAGACAAGGGCTTTATGTTTTATTTTCCTTTTAACAGAAACTAGGCATAAAAAGAGAGTCTATAACACAGAGTCGATAACACGGGACCATACTCTGGAAGGTCTAATGGTGCGTCTTGTTCCTTGCAACCTGGCTCTGGTACTTTCCTCCTGGCATTAGCAGCAAAGCATAGAGAGACCAGAAGAGAGGTGCCCTTGCTATCAATTGCAATTCTCACTGCAACAGGACTCCAGGCCTTAGCTGCCAAGTTATTTTCTGTGTGGTCTGAAAGATATTTGGGAGAACATTTGTCACAACCCAGTTTTGCAAGGAAAATACATCCCTAACAGCAGGGCATGACCTTCATGTACCACTCTCCTTCACTCCCCCAGCTCCTCAGCAACCAGTTTTCAAGGCTTTGCTCGGAAACACTGAGGTCTTTCAGCTTCTGAATGAAATGGCTTTAATTATTGTGAAGGTCTCAGGTGATGCTGCAGTTCTCTCTCTTATAACATTGCCCTATCAGATCCTTATAGCTGGTATAATTTGGCCAAGGCCCATGTCCTGCTACACAGCTCTGTTGATTTACATTAGTTGGGAAAATACAGCTGATATGTTCCCATAAATACTATTATTTCCAACTATTACAGTATTAGCCCTGAGGGAAGAAGACAAGCTATCTCAAGAGGTATTATATCAGTGGCTTTGTAGCATTTACTCACTTGAAAAAATAGCCACAGTTTAATAAACCAGTTTGGACTTAATTCTATTTCTATATCTGAGGATTTAAACCTTATGTGCATCCAGCTGGATTTATATGTTTAGATGAATTCCCCTTCCAATCCTCACCCCCTTCCAGTTTTATATCGTTTCAGTTTCTCCCTAAGGTGAGCAAATGATATTCATCATAGAAAACTCCCATTTGATGTTTTAGTTGCAAAATGGAAAGTATCTTAGTCACACTAAAGCAGCAGCCCATGAGTGTTTCATAAGCAGCTACAAAAGCTCTTGCTCAGGGGAAAGGGGGTGAGGAAAGGAGGCAAAAATCAGAATGGAATGGAATGGAATGGAATGGAATGGAATGGAATGGAATCATGGCATCACAGACTGATTTGAATTGGAAGGGATCTTAAAGCTCGCACAGTTCCAATCCACTGCCACGTGCAGGGACACCTTCCACTACACCAGGTTGCTCAAAGCCTCAATACAATTAACAGTGCCTTTGTCAGGAAAATGATAAATGAGTCCCTAAAGGACCATTCCTTTTCCTGCTAGAAAACAGATCCCTGTAGACAACCATTAGCATCCTGCAAGTGAGCTGGGCTTGTGCTGCCTACCTGCTCAGGGAAGATGTGGAAAGAAGCTCTAGAGGTACTTGGGGGCATGGGGAGCAAGAGGAGAATTCAGCCCTGGGATGACTTGTCCTTAACACCCTCGCCCCACCACGAAGGATTTGGCTTCCCTGCATGAGGAGGGGTTGTCAAACACCATCTCTTGGGGCTTTGCACCCAAGAGCTGCTCAGAGCAACCACCGACGCGACTTTGTCCTCAGCACATGGGAGATAGAGCAGAAACCAAGACCTGGGAGAGGGGGAGAAGGAACAGGAAACAAAATCCACCTGAGATTAATGACTTTAACATGTACACCGTGTTGTGTTGCAGTTTGTTTTACCCTCGGGACCCGTTTCATCAGTCAGGCAGAGCTTGATTAAATATCTCAGCAGAGCCATGGTTTATTCATCTAGAGCAAAAGTTCCCCCTGTTCAGGGGAGCAGCATTAGCTTTGTGTTCTGATTGTAAGAGCAACTATGATAATAAAAACAATAACAATAGCGTGCATTGTGGATGGGTTTTATTTGCTTCTTGCTCAGAATAAGCGGAGTGGGTTTGGTCTGCATTGTAAAGATGAAATGAGTTATTTTAAAGATCCTTTCTGGGCCGTGTGGAAGGGGTTTTTTTTTGCTCTTTTAACTGGAATTTTTCAAGGTATTCACCAGAACCACATGGCCTCGATATTTCTCTTAAGAAAACAAAGGCAGATGGGATAAAACGCAAGTGCACAACTCCGAGAAGCTGGAATGTGAAGGAACATGCTTTGAAGGCTGCAGAGCTTATGGGAAAGGCATCGGATCCAGAATGTTGGGGCTCTTGTGCAGCCATCAGGGAAGAGCTTGAGACCCCCAGATTGTCCTGGGTTGAGTCACTTTGGGTGTCTGCCCACCAGTACAGCAGAGCAACAGCTTGAACTGGGATGGCTCCTATGTTAAGGCTAAACATGTGTATAAGTGTTTTTCTGGATAAGGGCCAAAGCACTGAAAACCACAGAAGATTGAATCCTATAAATGCCAGTTATCGATATCTCAGATCTGTCTAAGTGGTAACTGCTGACAAACATGGGCTTGTTTAAATGGAGACCCGGATTTCTCTGGGATTTTCTAATGCTGGGCCCCAAATTCACTCAGCCTGGGATCAGGTCTGTAGCATTGCTCAGTGGTGATGGATGATGAAACTAGGCTGGACCAAAGGTGGGACTATAGAATAGAAACAGATACAGTTGAGTGCTTACACCCCCATGTTTGAAGCTCTAAGGATGTGTGAGAGCTCAACTTCAACATGCTTGAGGATTGGCAGTTTTATTGAAATTCATACTGAATTTCAGAGAGAAGAGAGATTTTAAGTAAGTCCATCAATCTTTGGGGTTTCCTTCTGACCCCGTTGTTTCTCATCCTATATTTCAAGCAATCTGGAGTGAGGCCAGAGGAGGCCATGGAGCTGCTGCGAGGGCTGGAGCAGCTCTGCTCTGGAGCCAGGCTGAGAGAGCTGGGCTGGGGCAGA